TTTTTTTTTTTTGGTTGACTCCTTTCTGCCACCCACCTTCCTGTTTTAACTCTAGCTAAACATGTAACTAAATATCTTTTTAAAACTTAGCTTTTGAAACCCCTCTCTCCATGATAATTTCCATATCCATTTGGAGGTGGGAATGGAGATTCCATGGAACTGCACATTGAGCATTTTATCCTTTAAGTTGTCTGTTCATATTAAATTTGATTTGCTAGCCATTTTCTGTACACAGTGAATATGACCTGTAGCTTAAGGCCATAACACTGACCCTGTTGAAGAGGTGGCTTTATAAACAGGTTTCTTAATTAACAGAAGTTAATGACTGACCAAGCGTTTTCTATGAGCCAAAGAAGTGGCCATGATAACCAGTTGGTTGTATCAATGGTTAGGCAGAGTATTACTGTAGTTGAAGGAATTGGAACAATGCGATAATATTATTACTCCTTTGTAATCATGCCCTTGTTGTGACTCATGTGCTAAACTTGAGATTGATCTTTTGAGAAAAAAATACAGGTTTATCTCTGTTGGGGCTTGAAGACTTCACTGGCAGATATTTACACATTTTGACAACAGAGACAGAACTCAGTTACCCTTTCGTAAGACAACCATCTCTAGCTCCTTCACAGCAATCTGCCTCTTTAGTGCATGTTCAAGTTTCACTTGTCACTAGACGAAGCTTCAGGGAGAAGCAAGACTGCTTGGCTGTTTAGTCTAATGGAGGTTAAAGTTGAAGTAAGATTAAACATATTAATATAATTGTGCTTTTCTATCCCTGTCACTCTGGTAAATTATTTTCGTACAGTATTTAAGAAAAGGCATATTTGTACAAGTTACTCGGACACATCCACAAGATCAATTTTAAAACTCCCCTAATGCTTTTCATACATTTTGTAAAAACTACCATGGGAGGACGTAGTTTGAAGCGATATCTCTCGGCTTGCCTGATATTTGATGTTTTTAAGGCAGATTTTAGAAAAAAAAAGAATTAACCAGTGATGTTGGATTGAAAATGTTCCTCTCATGTGGTGCACACTGTCTTTTATCTTCTTCAAAACAAAGTAGTGCACAGATGGAATTAATTTAACTTTTGGTGTAATGTCAAAATCCAGAACAGTTTACCAAGACCAAAGTAAAATTAGGTAGGATTTATTCTTTTGTCTTTTCTCAGAAATATTTCTCCTCTTGTTGGTGTTCTTATTGCAGTTATTATTTTTTTATTATTTATTCAATTTTAGATCCAGGAAATATAATTAATCATTGCATTATTTTCGTTTACTGTGATACATTGAGCCATTCTTGAGAGAACTAAGGCTTCAAAGTATTTGAAACTTCTCAACAGAGCAGTGAGATATTAAGATTTGTGACCTTTTTCGATTTTTTGGAGCTTAGAATGAAAACTACTGACACTGCTGTACCTTGAATGTGCAAAATGCAAAATGCAAAATGTAAAAAAAAAAAAAAGAAAAGAAAACACTTCATCACTGGCAATTTTGTCTGTGGATAAGGGCTCCGTTACTTAATACAGTAGGGTTGTTTATTGTGATTCAACTCCACAAGAAACTGTGCATACAGCTGTAAAAAGTGGCATTCTTAATGGTAATTAAGGTTGAAAAGCTAAAGTGAATGTGTGACTTGAAATAAAGCCTAACAGAATTACTTTATGGTTTGTGTTGTTTGTAATAGTTGCAAACCTCTTCCTTGGTTGGGAGATTAAACTGGCAGTCCAGCTGAATGGTCCTTTTGACCATCTGTAAATGATGAGGCAATTACACTAATTAATTGCCACTTTTCCATGTGTTAATGGGAAAGCAAAATGTTGTTTTATATTACTTAAGTGAACATCTCCTTCAAACCCTTCTGAGTGACATGGTGCAGTACCTTCCTTCTTGACAAAACTGTAGGAGTGGGGATAAGATAAGCCCCTCTATAGGTCTATGTGGTCGACTGGAGCCAGGGTGCTAATTTCACCTTGCTTTCTATTTTCAGCATCCTAGTTCATTCAAAATAATAACAATTTGACCCTTTGAACAACTTGGCACAGGTGATGGTATGGCCGAACTTTATGCTCAGATTGTGGTCTTTAGCTTAGTGATGGGCTGGGGTACTCATGGAATGTTTGGTGGGATCTTCCTCCCACCCTTATCTTTCATTTTGCATGCTTGATTTCATAACTGGCATCTAAACTCGTATGTAAGTTTTAGAATTAAAGGTAACGCAAAGGATTTTGAGGCACAGCATCTTTTTTACCAGAGACTTTCAGACCAGAAGGCAAACCGATACCAAACTTCAGACTAAAATAGCATGTGGCCATTGTTTAGCCTAAAATATGATAAAGTCCATATCCTCTGGGGTGCACGTGGTCGGTACCTAATGCAAAGCTACCATTAAGCACTGTATTCCATAACACCTGTTTATGGCCAATTATGCTTGCCAAGGCCTTCATGTTACAGGTAAACGGGAATTTTCATGTTGTTGTTATAGTCTAAGTGCTATGGGTGTGAAGATCAAGGCAGGTGTGTTATGGGTGAGAAGATCAAGGCAGGTGACAGGTGACTCCAAACAAGTCAAACCCACCTTAAGTACCTTAACTGACTGAATAAGCTTCTCCTGGTCTGAATAAGCTCCCTATCTACTGAACATCACTTGTTACAAGAGCACCCTAACTCTTATTGATACTTACTTAATCATCTTCATCCCATGTGGGATATTCAGCAATGATCCCTCTCCATTTATCTCTATTCAGTGTGGCATGCTGTGCTGCACCCCAAGTGAGTGTTTACGCCACTGAACTCAGCCATGACAGTACAGATCAGCGCCAAGTGATTTTTGGCCCATCAGGTTTCATTCACAGTTTGAGCAGTTGATCATTTTGCTCTTCAGCATTATACTTCCAACTTCAATAAGCCCCTCCACCTCAACAATAAGATACCAGTCTGATTAGTTTCTGTGCAAGGTCCCTGTGGAGGCTTATTTAGTCAGTTATAGCACCTAGCTTATGCAGGGAAGTGGTATCCTATCCCCTCCCATCCTTATGTACTACATGTTAATTATATATGTGGTAGATTCAACTGGTTCATTGTTTTTACTTTTTATTGTAGAAAAAAATAATTGCTACACACGAATACATTAATAGCTAACTAGAATGATTGAAATAGCAAATAACATTCAAATGTGGAAGATAGATCTAAAATTAAAAATTTAGAATTAATTTGCAGTATTTTCCTGTGACAAACACATGTAAAATGGAAATTATCACAATTTGCAATGATAAAAGCTTAACCATCAGTTAGAATTAAAACTACAGGTCCAATCACTATGTTGAAGAAATTAAATAACTCAACTTCCTAACGCTAACTCGCAATTACACTTAATTGCTACATATATTATCTGTCTAACTGGGAAGTTTTCTGGGTGATTATTTGCAAGAAACAATTCTCTACCACCATGTATTGAAGTTTAACCAGCAACCTATCAAATACATCAACCAAAAAAAAAAATCTTTCAGCAAGACAGTAACATAATGAATGTAACAAAGAGAATATGTCTTATTTTACAACATTTATCTAGCCAAATGTACATCTAAGATAATTTCCATGTCCCAGACCTGCTAGTACATGAGAACTGAAAATCTGGAGATTTTACAAAACACATTGCCAGGGGTTTTTCTCCACTGAATCCTATGGATTCACTTCTCAAACTAATTAATAATTTATTCATTAAGTTTAAATAAAGGAAAGTCTGATCATGACGGTGTATGGATATCTGATCTTAAGTAGCTTAGATTTTTACAATTAAAATTTCTCCTTAGTTTTAGTTTCGACTGAGAAGCAATATATCAGACTCAAATGACTGTGTTTGACCACGTACATACATTATTTTCCACAGTTGAAAATAAGACATGCAGCGGAGTATTTTTGACAAACTTAGAGGTGTTTGTAACTGCGGTCAAACACTGTCTTGAGACGGTTTAACATGTTACTAAAAACACCTGCATATTGCAAGAAATCAAAGATAATCATTCTACAATATTTTCACATCCCACATATCACGATCTGTTGGCAGAAATGAGAAAAACTCCAATCCTCCGCAGGCAAGTTGAAACACCACTGATTATCCTTTTCTGTTTCAAGGTCATTATTGAATTTCTCTGTATTATTCCCTTGCATTTTGCCATCACTGACTTAAGGAGAATTTAGTCCGTAACCAGAAGTCTTCCAAGGGTAATCAAAATCTTAATTATTAGACCTCAACTCAACTCAGGAAGTAATCAGGCGAGTAATTTCGAAATTGGATGAGCACGCTGCGCTAAGGCCAATTTGAAATAATGAGCATGATTTCTCTCTGAATTGTAAGACATGAGGTCCTATTACTAATTAACCATATCAATGACAAAATGGGAGATTAAAAAAGTCTTTTGAGCAAAAAAGCCAGTACTGTTTTCACAAGTTAAAAACTGTATGGAACATTGAGAAGGAAGCTATTAAATCTCATGCACAGTAATTGACCTGGTAATGGCATAGGTATCCAATACACAACCATACCATGGAGCATTGATTGAGACAGGCGTGCATGGAGAACCAATCACAATCAAGAATTTTGTTACAGATAGGAGAAAACCAACAAAAAGCTGAACACAAACAACAGAGATCATTGAAGCAAGTCAAGGTGCGGAAACAACATCGATATATATTGTACAAATTTAAATATTAAAAGTCCCTAAATATACACACATCGGTTGACAGACGATTAATATTATGAAAACAACAATCGTAACAAACATTGTACGGAACGTAAATGTCACGCATACCACGTGTTATTAAACTGGCTCGTAGTAAATTTACTGCGCCATTTTTTCATCCATTCAAATTAGCATATATTATACGCCAAGACCGCTAGTAAAATCACGGCTATTAAGCCCGCAGCCACCTTTGATCCCGAAGATTTCGTAGTCAGCAATCTCTTAGCATGCTTGCGAGCGACGTTCTCGTTAATATTTGTTGTACCGTTCGGCCAAAGAGTCATGCAATCGTCGCCAGCTTTCCCCTCGGTGTATTTCCATGAGAAGTTGAAGATTTTGTTGCAGAATTTTTCGGGGTCGCCGAAGTAATCCTTGAAGGTCTTACACTCCATCTTGCACATTCCAGTTTTCCAGTTCCAGGTTTTGTAATTCCCCCAGTTGTCTGAGCAAGTTAAGTCGTCTTTGCAGGCATCGAACCACGCATCGCAGTCGGACTTGCACATCGGGACGTTTGTAAACCTCTCTTTTCGTGTCTTCTTTGAGTTGGGATCGACGGTGATCCAAGGCTTCATATAAGGCGAGCATTCGTACATACACGTATCAATCTCGAAGTATCTGCGACATTTCGGTGACATGGTAGTGTTGCACTGATCCCAATGCATATTATACAGCGACAAAGCGCCGTCTTCTTGAATATTAAACGTGGTGTTGGCGGTGCAACAAGCGTGGCCTTTCCATGGAGTGCAGTGAAACTTCTTGTTGAAGACATCAGCTTCTGGCCCGGGTTTACTTTTGTGGTATTTGGAGTCGATGCAGATATCCAGAAATTCGTCGATCTCTTTATCGGTAACAGCCTGAGACGAGGCGATTACGACGAAAAGCGACAGAAGAACGTAAGGCACCTTAAACGCCATGTTCAAGACTGGCTAAGTCTGCTGATCGACCACGTGCTGCTAGCCTGCGTAGCAACCGTTTCCGTACGAGGCGAACGTGGGCCGCGCGAAGGTGTTCGCATTCGGGCCGCGCGAAAAATGGGAACGAGCAAAAAAAGGTGGAAGGAGGGAGTGGGGGAGGGGAGCGAAGGGACCTCTTCCCTTCGCTCCCCCACCCCGCTCCATCCACCTTTTTGCTCCTTCCCATTTTTCGCGCGGCCCGAATGCGAAAAACTCCCTCGCGCGGCCCACGTTCTCCTCGTACGGAAACGCTTGCTACGCAGGCTACGTGCTGCCGAAAAAAAACGCAAAGAATTAAATGCGTCACGTATTGAATTATTAAATTTTGTTAACCAATTAAAATTTGTGTCCTTCGGCAAGGGTAAGAACAACCTTTCAAAAGAATACTGTATACAGAAATGATGAAATGTGGTACTTAATTACCGAAGTTGTTTATGACGATGGTACTGCTGGTACTGTACTTTGATCGAATACACTTGTCGCACTTACGTTCTCCGGGTGTTCATTTGCTTCCACCAATGAACGTTGGCTTGGATTGTTCAAATGAGCCAATCGGCGATCTTGGAACGATTAAAAGTTTCTGGACAATAACAAAAGTAACTTAGGCCCAGTTCAGACGTCGTGCTTCTGCCGTGCCGAACTAAATTGCAATTTGGTTCAACTGTAGCACGGCAGGATATCAACTCTGATTCAGACGTCGTGACACAGTACAGAGTCGAATCAAATTCAGCATTTACTGAAGCCTCGTAACAATTCTCCTCCTCCTAACTCCCCGAGGGAACGCAATCTCGCCAAAATGCATTAACATAATTTATGAATTTAGTTTGGCGCGACAGAACCACGATGTTTGAATCGCTGTCGTGCCAGAGTCGTGTAGCTCGGCAGAGCTTGTCCAACTTAATTGCTTGCCGAACTTAATTCAAAAGTTTGATTCAGACGCCGTGCTTCTGCCGTGCGTTTGTCGAACTTAATTTCCTGAATTTAGTTCGGTAAGGCAGAAGTACGACGTCTGAACTGGGCCATAAATTTACATGTAATACATTCTTTAGCAAGCAAGGACAATACGCTGTTATTGGGTTTTTGCCAGCTTTATCGCAGATGACCAAAGTGTACTGTGAGTGTGTACGGAGCCAGGAGTTAGGGATTTGAAATTCGATCGAAATGAAAACGTAGCTAGTAGAGGACAAGGCTATATTAAAGATACCAACAAAATGCCGACAGATTTGTTGACCAGTTCGAAAAGAGCTTCTGCGTGGAAAGCTGTAGGAGGCAAAGAGAGTGGCAAACTGAAAACAGCTAAGGCAGCATTCAATCTTTACCCTCCATTGATACGAATAACATCTTTCCAACGTGATTTCACGGCAAACAAGGCATATTATGAAGCCGAAATCGATCTGTCAAATCTCATTTTGGATTGGCAACTTCAGTTTCGATTGGGCCACCATAATACCATTGAGTGGAACAAAAATGTGGGACGGAAATCTCACTGACAAAAATATTCGTGTGAATACAAAAGGGGCTAAACCCGCTTCAACAGTAATGTTCGGGAGGCCATTTTGTTCCTGGCACTCGTTATTTTAAGTTTATTCCTCGATCGACTAAGGGGAAAGCGAGTATACTTTTAAGCAAGAGGGGATATAGGGTAATTTACCATACATCGGATCCCCTCTTGGTATAGGCTTAAGTCTCACAGATTAAACAGGAAAGGCATTCACGTCAAAAAAATGGAGAAATGTAATCCATCGTCAACAATATTCGTTATGGTTTGCTCTTCCCACCATTCAGGTATCGGTTAAGACTGGGCCGCGCCTTGAAAATTAGCCTGCTAACAGGCTCCGTCCCATCCCGATCGCTTCGCTCTCTGAGTTCTTCAGTTTCTCGCTCGTCCGCTCGCTTCGCTCGCCAAATGATTTTTTCCGTCCTCGCCAGGAGCCTGTTCGAAGGCTACTTGAAAATACATATTTATTATATAAACACCAGTGAAATACCAGGATTTTTCCTTTTACTAGGAATTCACATCTTCATCGCGCGCAGTGAAGATATTAGAGAGGTTAAGCATGACGTTAACGGCAGACGGCAACCGGCAAAGATAACCTTTGATTTTGAGTTCTTTTCTTCTAATCCGTAAATAAAGCACACAAAAATGGAATAACGTCTCCTACTATTCATTGCAAATACAAATAATTTCACTCTACTGTACACACAGCTGACGAGAGACGGCACAAGTTTCATTTTTGCCGTTTGCCGTTTGCCGTAAACGCCATGCTTAACCTCTCTATTATTTTTATCTTTCACACTGTGAAGATATCATTCCTTTTTTATAACATTTTTCTTTTGTTGATGTATGATCGAAACATCTTCGGATCTTCTTTGGTCGTCTTCGGCAATTTTCAGCAATATTCGGCAATCTTCGGAAAATGTTCGGAAGTGTTCGGAAAGTGTTCGGAAGCGTGCGTCTGGTCTTCGGAGCAAATTTGGAAATCTTCGGAAATCTTCGGAAACTGGTCGGAAATCTTAAGAAAATCGTCTAAAACGTCGTTATTAGCATGTTTATACAATAAACAGAATATTACATGCCCAACATGCTTGTGGATACGAATTTTATCTTCTCGTGTTCAACTCAATATCTCACTCGTTCGCTGCGATCACTTGTGAGATATCGAGTTGAACACTCGAAGATAAAATTCGTATCCACGCGCGGACATGTAATATCCTCTATTTCTATTATTAATTTTCTTTGACAAGTTTCTAGTTTACTAGTGTAAACAGCAAATAGTTCTCCCTTGTTAAGCTATCAAGCATTAATTTTTCAACAGAAACTTGTAAATTGTTTTTATCTTGTACAGTTTCTCAACAAGTCGAGTGTCAGAGGAAAGACTTGTAAGTAACCCTTTTCACAACTTAATTTGATTTTAAAGCTTGTTCATGTATACCATACCTTCTAGGAGCAAATTTTCGTGTGATTGCAAATTAAAGCTAGACAACAGGGCCAGATCCAGAAATTCAGATAAATTGAGTGGGCTGAAAAGCAAATAAATATTGATCGGCATTCACACGGGCCAATACGCTAAATACTAAATCACTCGGCGTCATTTCTTTTATAGCAACGTTTTTCACTGTCGTCTGGTGATTTGAAATGTTTGTTTTTAGAGGAGCTAAAGGAAAGTCGATCTTGGAGAGGAAACACATGCCACACCGATTTGTAGAGGTGTGCCATACCAATTTGTAGAGGTGTGCCACACCAATTTGTAGTGGTGTGCCGCACCAATTTGTAGAGGTGTGCCACACCAATTTGTAGAGGTGTGCCAAACCAATTTGTAGTGGTGTGTCACACCAATTTGTAGAGGTGTGCCACACCAAGTTGTACAGGTGTGCCACACCAATTTGTAGTGGTGTGCCACACCAATTTGTACGGTAGTCAGAATGTGAATTTGTTTTCCGAAATGGATCAGAGTTTGAGACCTGGGCGAAAGTGAGAGCAATGAACATTCACCCAACGAATATCTAACGTGTTAAGAAGAGAAGAAAGTATTCTGCGAGCAGTTTCCTCACGGGGAAAAAAAGAGGGAAAGGAAAAATGGAGAAGAGCCTGCCCGCCCATTTTGTATTCTCTTCTTCTGTGAAGATAACCTCTGGGAAGCTCTCATGACAAGTTACGAATTTGAGTTTACATTGTTGCCATTGACTGTTTCAGTCTGCGAACGTTTATCAATTCTGTCGGATTTCTTCATCAGTGAATAGGTCGTTACCATGGGAGCCACCTAGCGGTTGTAAAGTTCTTAACTCTTTTAATTAGGTGCCCCGCCGAAAGGCAGGGCGACAAAAAATTAGTCTATAGACTCATTCTAGTTGTTCTCCTCCACAGAAATCTTTAGTAAAAGGCGAAAGATTTATGCGTGTTGAAGGAAAACCAGAGCCACGCTACACTGTACAGATCAGGCGCTTTGTGTAACGTCACTCTGCGAAACATGTGGGACAGTCTGGTCTATGACACTTACTTCAGAGCATGCGCATCTGTAAAGCGTACGTTACTGTAAGATACTTTGCAACTTTCGTATTAATTGAAAATGCTTTTTTTTTTTTCGCTGCTTGACAAGTGAGAAGTCAAAGTTAACCGAGATTTGTCAAAATCAACTGATAACTCAGATATAGCTCAAATGTTAACGATAGCTAAGAAATGACGTAACTTCTAACTGGTAAACTCATGCAGACCTTCTAAACTAAGAATCACTTTTGTCATGCTGGTATTCTTTGTCAAGCTGCTCAAATATGACCAAAATGACTTAACAGTTTCATGATCAGGCTAAGAGTGCGACTTGCCGTGTGATGAAGCAGTTACGGAAATGGTGGTAATTTCACAATTCCCATCAGACTCTAAGTTACTCATTCTTTTAAGTTAGGTGCCCCGCCAAAAGGCAGGGCGACGAAAAATTCGTCTATAGACTCATTCGAGTTGTTCTCCTCCACGGAAATCTTTAGTAAAAGGCGAAAGATTTATGCGTGTTGAAGGAAAACCAGAGCTGCGTAACACTGTACAGACCAGGCGCTTTATGTAACGTCACTCTACCAAACATGTGGCACAGACCGTTCTATGAAACGAACTTAAATAAAGTTATTATTATTATTATTATTATTATTATTATTATTATTATTATTATTATTATTATTATTATAAAAGTGAACAGAAGCTCGTTAAAAATCCCAACTAGTTGGAGGTTGACTTGTTGCCACAATTGGAGAAGTTGAATTTGGGACTACCAAACAAAATCAGACCACCCAGCGGCAGGGAGGTGGATCTGAATTTGGGACCTCCGGATTACAAATCCAGCGCCCTAACCACGTGCAGTAAGCCACGCCGCCTCCACAGACAAGGCCGGAAATTTAGTCGTGTTTGCCGCCCAAGTTTTCCTTGAGAGGATTTACTGTGACTCAGCGGAGTTCGATTGCCGCGATGATGCGTTTTCCACAACTGAAAAGTTGCTAAGTTTTTTTCTAGATATCTTGGCAAGTCGAGATCTTGAGCGAAACTTGCGAGCGAAATAGAGGTCATGTCATGTCTTACCGCATATAAAAGCAATCTGGTGACCAGCTGGAACTCGCTTACTCGTTCTCGGGTTTTGTTTTGGAAGTCCCGAGGTGCCGAAACGGAGTAAGAAGAAACTTGCAAAGGTTCCGGGCCCACTCATGACAACAAGCGGATGAAATACCGTGACGGAGGGCGTGGAGCAAACAATTTGAAAGCACGTGATTTGTATCCGCAAGCCAATCAAATCTCTTGATTTTGAGCAGGTGGTCTGCAAATTTTCCAAGGCTTCCTTGGCGACACAAAACAACAGAATCAACATGGTCTTAATTAGAACTTTCCTCCCCGATGAGCATAAAATAAAATGAAAACAGAAAAATTGCATACAATGATTTGGAGCTTGTTTATTGAGTTCGTTTACCGTTTCTCGTTCCTAATTGGAGTTGTCCGAGCTTAAAATGTGCGATAAAATTGAAGCATACCTATCAGCAATTAACTTTATTCGTCATCTGTTAAATAAAACATACTCGTATCGATGAAGATCGGCTGTTATAAATAAATAATGATTATCTAGGCTCTTGGTCAAATTATGCACAGTGGCTTGTTAGTGTTAATGTATAACCCTGCTCAGTTTTTTGGACATATTTTGTACTCAAACTACCCGGCGCGCTTCCGTTGGCTTAAACAAGTCAGTTAACAGTGTTTTGGTTCTGTAACACGGGTTGCCAAATAGAAAATTTCAGTGCGGTTAACATAAGTATGGCCACTAAAAGATCGGACATGTCTTTTCCGCTTAAGGTAGGATTGATAATGTCGTTGAAAACGCAATACAAGTACGTGTGGCTTTTAACTTTCCGAAGATCATTAGCAAATTCGCTAGCTATGGATATTAAGATACAAGTCCAAAGTGAAAATTCGCTATCATAAGTTTTCCAAGCTTTGAGAGAAAATGATCTTTCTTGCTTTGTTTTTTCCTTACTCGCAGGTTGTGTGCCTCCTTCTTGTGTATATTGCTTCTGCTCAGTCCACAACGACAGGTAAATTAAAAACGTTATCACACGAATAATCGGTTTTTTAAATTACCGTAAGGCTTGTTAAGGGACGACGCGCGATGCAAAGAAACTAGAGTTTGCTGTTGTTAACTAGCATTTTAACCAAACGCCGCTATAACTTAATGCATATGGCAACAGCTTATCGCTTAGAGGCCATCTTAAGCTGACAAACTCTTCTCGACAATGTAAATAAGCAGGTTTTCATGAATACGGTCTCGTTGCCAACGTAAAGCGGGCTTTTCTCTCTAAGCTTGTTAGATAACTGCGAAATTTTTTGGCTTTAAAAACGGCCCGGATTGTATTTTACGTTTCTTTGGTAAATTTTTTAGCTTCTCGTATGAATACTTTCTGCAAGGATGTATAGCAGGTGTATAAAGCGATCGATCTCTCCAATATGGAAATTATCTTCGTCGTTTAATTAACGAAACAAGACTGGAATAAGCCAAGGACATTTTCGCGTCATTTTTACCTCTGCGGAGGCAAAAGAAATACTTTTACTTAAATGTTGCGCAAATTCGAAGACCGGCTATCTCGTGTTCGCTTTGAAGATAAAATTTATCAGTTCTAAGCCTAAAAACGTTTTAACCGTAGCTTAAGAATGGTCATTCTTGGGTCTTGTACGTTTGTCAATAGAACAGAAATGACGTTTAAACATAGAGGAAACCATTAGGACAGCTTTTTCAAGCAAAGGATCACGATTTTCCTCTTCCATTTTAATGTTAAGTCTGCGCTGATGTTTTTCTCGCGTGTGTAACGCATGGCTGAAACCAAATAGTTGGCGGGCGGTACGGGTTGTTTCTCGCCAGGCTTAATTTTTCGCATCATTGTTTTCTCTATTTCTTTGGCGCAAAATTTCTTTTCTAAGGTTATGCAGGACCCTGGGAGACGTGGGGAAGGACTGCTCCCAAATCCGTTAGAGAGGAAAGCTTAAATTTACAATGTTTTAGAAATTGTGCGCGGTTGAAACATCTGAATTCACGGTAAAATATTTGTGGTAACCCTTCGATGCGGGTGATTATTGCTCGTAAACGTTATTCTCTTTGTTATTTTCCAGTAATTGTTTTACACATGCAATTTATTGAGGAAGCCAGGATGTATTCAAATCTATAACTCCTGAAGCACTCCACAGTTCAGGGAGAGTTAGTCTGAATTAAATTTTTGGTTATTTATCAGTGTAGAATGTAAAGGTCAGACAATGTTATTAGAATGCGGAGTCAGTCTTTGAACATGATTTGCCCCATAAACGTTCCTAGATATGCCCAGGTTATATTTCTTCAAAACGTTTCTTTTACTTTACGCATTATTCGTTGCTATCACCCTTTAAAAGAGCCAAATTTGAAAAAATATTGTCACAGTATGGCATTTCTAGCGTCGGTGAGAATTTCGTGTAACTTCTAAGCTGGGTGTCAGAAGAATGGAAGAGAAATTTTTTGGGGGCGTTTCGCATGGCGAAATGACTTTATTGTTCCCTGTAATTTCTCGCTGACAGAATGGCAAAACGATGAGCAATGGGCTTGTGTGTTCACTGAAATTATTTGGCAATTCCAATTGTTTTTAACTCCCTGGAAAAGCCAAATTAAATGAGGATCTTAATTTCAATACAAATGTTCCGTAGATTATTTCTTTTGTGTGTCGAAGATTGTTTGGGCTTCACATGACGATATGACTAAAAATAGTTCATTCATAGATAATCAGAACGAAGTTATTGAGAAAATAATATTCATGCTGGTAGTCGTGTTCCGCATTGGAAGCCGATGGTCGATTTGTTGTTATTTCGAAATGATTTATATTCTTAATCTACAATAGGCTCTGTATATTCTTAGCGTGCCGAGCTCTGTAATAATTGTACAGTGACCGCAGAAATAAACAAACTTTGAAAATCCGGCCGAAGAAAGGGAAGTTTAATTTTCCACGTCTGGTAACAGCAAACCGCAAATAAGTTTAACTTTTCCCACACAGTCAAAATAGTTTTTCCAGACATGCTAATGGCGCTGTTAACGAGCTTAAACGTTTTTAATCAATTCAAATATCCGTTCACTCCCCTCTAATTGCGAACATAATCCTGTGAAGTAAACCCCGGAAAAAGCAAGCCACATGACAACATAAAAACAACATTATGCACTGGGGAAAAGAAGATACGACTTCCAGACAGTCAAACTCAAGAAACCACAGAAAAAGACACTGACTCAAAATTTACTTCATTGAAGTAATTGTAAACGAAATCCTGCTGTTTGTAAAATTAATCGCTTGCTCTCCCATTGAGTCTTTGGCAGCCCCAAGCTCGAAATCAATTCATCCTCCTTACTGGCTGCATAATGGTTGTGCATTCAATTTTAGTTTTATAAGTTTGTTTTCAGAATTGGTTCATATATCAGGGGAATATCTAGCTTGCGAGCAGGCCCTTCCTGCATAGAGCCTGTTCGAAGTAGAGGTGAATAGGTGAACAACAGCCTCTATTTTATGCTTAAATATTTGTCCGCGGACATATTATTTGTTCTGAGAAGCAAACAGCATATTTTTTTTCACGCCAAACAAATGTTTTTCGCAACGCGCGGTTTTGAAAATTGGGGAATACCGGTATCACTCGGATATCCCCCAGTTTTAGCTGGGGGATATTCAATCACGTGTTGCGTTTAGACCAATTGCGCGCGAGCGAACAGATTTGATGGATTATAATTGGTCATATATCTTGGTGGCGAAGCCAATGAAAACTCTTGTAATGCGTTATCTAATGATCCGGTTTTCAATAAACTACGTTATCCGACCCGTTAGGAAAGGTCGGCTTGGCCGGCACAATATATGGGGAAAGAGCCCCTTATTTCCGGAAATGATGACTGGTTTATCCACATTTTTTTCCAGTCAGTGAGAGCGTCACTATTCAGCCTTCAGCGACCGTGACGTGGACCATCAGTTACTCAGTAGAGGAGACTGCCAGTTTGGCAACCTCTGTGGAAGTGGTAGATGCTACCACGACGACAACCGGGATTTTGAATACCGGAGTGGCGCCCAGTCCGTCGTCGGTCATTTCTACACAGTCTTCCAGTGTCACGGTGAGTGGTTTTCCTGTGTAGGTTTAACGTCATTTAGCAGATTACTAGTTGAGATTTACGGAGTGACGTCCATTGTGCAATTTACAAATGATTAGAAATGTTTACTTGCCGAAGTGACTCGTCTCTTGATAGCATGACTCGTGGCATGACTCTACCTGAGATTTTGGATTTGGGGGGAATCAAAGAGGAGAAGGGGAGGGGTGGGGGAGGGTTGTAACTAATAGAGGAGAACTAGTCAAAACGTTCACTATCACACGAGATATAGCGCGTTTTAAGCTTAAGCCGCGATCTAGTTATGCAAAAGTTTGCAGAAAGCTGAGAAATGGGTTGAAATGTTAACTGATAACTGAGAAATCACCTGAAATTTTACAGATAACTGACAAGACGTGCGGGACCTCGCGATGTAATCCACCTTTACCGAAGCATATAGGTAAATCACCAGGATTAAATAACACACACTTATTGAATTAAATCTATTGTCTCCGTTGTAGGAAAACCAGAGGACATTGACAGAGGCTGAACGAGAACTTCAAAAAGAGTTTGCACCATTAATTGAGGAGGTATATTGCGGCACTGCCAGTGTAAATCCTGAGAAGGCTCTTTCCAGTATCTTTATTTATAATTACAATTTTATCTTGCGCCTTACCATTTAACATCTCTAATTACACTTCGTACACTTAAATAACAAAAAATCAGGTTAATTGTAGACCGTACATACGCAGAAAACCTGAAATCTTTAAGAATTCTGCATTTTTTTTTTTATTATATATAATAGTGTTAGTCAGTCGATGATGTTATGAGTCTGGTCCGTTGAAAGGGACAGGTTAGTTTAACAAATATGTATATATCTTAATCTTGTACTTATATATCTCTCTCTTTGACGTTTAACTTTCAGCTTGGTGGGAAAATCACTACGGAAGTTGATCCAACAAAATCCAAACCAAAGGATGCAAGCATTATCGAGACACTATCAAAAATGACAGCGAAGGGCTTGTCTCTCTTGACGAAATATAACAACTCTGTAAATGCCACAGTGGACTTCTTTAACGTTACCGATGACTTCAGCTTCGGTAAGATCGCGTTTGTAATGCTGCTGGAGGGGGCGCAAGGCGAAGGGGTGTTTCATTTTAAAATGTTTCAATCAGTTTGTTCTCACTGCAAAGAGTAGAAAGCTTGTAAAAAAAAAATGTAAATCTTATTTATAGTGGTCTGCACTTAGCCTGGATATTTATTTTTTCATAGAGAGTGATTTCGGGCAAGTGTTGTGAGTAAAATGCGCGAGGACGGTCAAGATCGAAATGTCTTTTTCTACGTATTCAATACAGTCAATACATACTGTAGATGCAGTGTAGGCCATACAATACAAAACAGTGACTGTGGTTTCCAAAAGCTAAAGACAGTAAGACCCTCCTGAGACTTTGATCACTTTTTAAAAAATAGAAAGTAAAACAAAAAAGATTTAAGGAGCCTAGTGGCCTATTGGTGATGGCACTGCACTGGTTTCTGATCTCCAGAGTATCGCTAGGAGAGAGTTAGTATTACAGTTTGAGACTGTCTGCCTTCCTCTAACATTTTTGTCAAATTCGCCCGTACCTTATGATACACCTGGTTTGGTGTACGTAGGCACAATTAGTATCTTCCCAGAGAACACCCCGCAATGACTGAGGCCAGGGCTCTGGATCCCAATTTGACAACATCAGACTACCGCATAACCGCCCCTCTCCCCTACCCCTGTTATCAACTGGTTCCGTCTCCTTAGAGTCGACAGACACATTCTCCTTTCTAGTCTCTATTTTTTTTCTTATAGTACTAGTCAGAGAGAATGTCAGTTTTACTTTTCCTTCCCTAGTGCTAGCCATGAAGAAGTTTGACTGCCTCGAAGTAAGGTCGGCAGCAATACCTGATCGTTCCAATAAGGACACAGGCCAAGCCTTGACAAAATTTACAGACTATGTGTCTGCGAAGTTTGACTGTCCATGGAAAGTGAAAAATGGTAAATTAAATTAATAGGCGAATTAGATAAATCGCTCCCTAGATCTCCATTTTGATGTGGTTGGGGAACATAGAAAGACACAAAATAATAAGAGAAGATGGGAAGTTTAATTTTATCATGTTTGTTTAATGGAATTGGACCTGAATTGAAATCTTTGGCACATTTTGTCAAAGATTTTGCTGAAGTTCCAATGCGTTGGCTATGTGTGCTATCAGAATACTTCAAGAAAAACTATCATTATATTGTTGTGCTGGGTCTTCTGAACGCTTTAATTCAGGCCAGTATTTGGTAACCAAATTTACAATTCAGTTTTAACTTGATTCATACTTACTAACTATGAAATTCAATCAATACTATGTAAAAGCCAAGAATACTTTTTGTTTAAAAAAATAAGAACAACCACTTTCAGATTGTAACAAGATATGTTTCGATCGTTAAAAAATCATTGTCATCTTCGCCAAGAAGAAAGTGGGGCTTTTGAGGGCACCTGAAAGAAATAGGTATAACTTTGTGAATTTTCATTGAATTTCAGTCAAATTTTCAGTATTTGATGGGAAGCAACTTTTCTCTTTTTAGTTTTCAATGCTATGTAAAAAGCAGATGTTACTAAAAAATTTCTCCTAAAAAGTGTGTACTGCGTGAAATTTTAATTAGCATAAATTAGCCTAAATTAATTAACTAAAAGAGATTAAGAAAAACTGACAACATAGTCTTGATGTCTATTTATTTGGCTTTAAAATGACATAAAGCATAACAAAATTGGTTGAATATAATGTGAGCTGGTCATTTTTTACCAAAACATGTCAAAAATAACCATTTTTAAGGGGGGGGGGGCACCAAAGAGATTTATTAATGACATGAAAAACAAACAACATTAAACCATAATTTAAGTTTGCTTGTGTCTCTTTTACTCCATACAGCAACTCGTCCAAGTTTGAGAAAAAGGCGAGATTTGAGAGAGATGCAGTTTGAGGTTACCATGGATATCAGTGCTGATGACGAAGGTGACTTTGAGGAGTTTCAGATGCTGTATCACCACTCCCGAGTCAGGAGGAGTGACCAGCAATGTCAATCACGGATGTGTGATGGTGAGTAGAACAGGTTCAGATAGATTTTGTAATTGTACAAGCAATTAGCTTTTCATTGATACATAGTTTGTTAGGGTTTTGATGAAACTCAGGGTTGTGACAACTGTGCAAAAAAGGGGCATTTTTCAGGTAGAACCCCTTAAGGATGGAAAAGACTAATACGGATTAAAATTCAAACGACGAACAAGAAAAATTTAGGCTAAACTTACAGAGTGCGCAAACCGTGACGTACAGCTCCTGTAAGCAAACTTTAAAGAAGATTGTATGAAGATAATTTGCTTTTTAACCAAGTTAAGGAACGCTTAGCGTAAGAGAACTAATTAAAGAGACACCTATAATTGCAGTTGTTCAGTTTGTAAGAGTTAATCATGTTGGGCCGGTATACAAAACAAGAACTGATCTATTGCTTCTTGAGAATTTTGGTCCACGTTTTAAAAAGTAATGATAGTAAAGAATTCATCAAGTAGGCCATTTTGTCTTTTGTGTCCTCGGATTCACCAAAATTCACCGAAATAGCGCCACTACACCAATAGAATAGTAATTAGCAACCTTACGCTTATACGACGGCGACGGCGAGGACGACGCCTAATAAAAAATGTTTCCATTTTACTTTGGAATTTCGCATTTATTTGTTTATTTATTTTTTTACTATCTAGGGTGTCTGTCGGTATTAAAACTTGCCCCTGCTGAATGTGCTACGAATGCGTTCAATTCCAAATATGGTTCACGTTCTCCAGACAACGCCGAATTTGGTCATTTCATGCATGTTGCTGTTTTCCAGAGGACGGCAAAGAAATGTACCAAGAATTACAATGCGCGTGCATAGCTATTGTTCTACTCATTAAACCTTTTGTTTAGTGACGTTTTCGTTGTCGTTGCCGTCGTGTTTGCGTAAGGTCCCTATTATGATACCAAATCGGAATTCAAGTCCGTTTTACAAGCCGGTCTAATATGGCAAGTGCGATCACGCGATGGTTCGTAATTTTGCAAGAAGTACCTAAAAGGTACGATAAGATACTTATTTGGCCACAAATCCGGCGATATTAGGTACGGTATATATTGATTTGGTATCGCAGCGGAATGTCAAGGCAGTAGAATGACATGGCTTCTGATTGGCTAATTGCAAAATTGGGCAAGCTAAGTAAGGAGAATTATTATTTCGAGCAAGGGCCCGACTTTGGTTCAATGAGATTACAGGACTTAGTATAACAGCAAAATAAAACTGGAAATGAGGACTGAATTTCACAAAGGGCTGTGTGTTCAAATTCAAGATTGTTCCTGTTTGACCAGCGGCCATCTTGGATTACATCGACCCCTGGCTAGAAGGAAAGTTACCGTATAGCCCATTTAATTATAATTTATTTCACTGTCAATATTAATTCTGCTATATATTGCTTTCTAGTAAAACGGTTTGAGACTACTCTCGTCATCAAGAACAGAACTTTTGACATTCGCCTTAACAACTCAAGCTCAGCTTACTACAAAGAGTTGGAAGAGCAGTTAAAAGAAACGGTAAGTTAAAATGAGCTGAAATCTACCATGATAAGTCGGGTCTTAGGTATCATAGCGTAAGCCAGTAAAAGGTTAAGTCTGCGTACAAGCTGAGCCAAGTGGCCCGTTAGGTCGGAGCTTCTCCCTGTGTCTGTAGCGTGAAGCGATCAGGAGCATTTCTACTTCCCCCTGGATGGCATGCTAGTCCATCGTAGGGTTACCCCCCAGCATTAAGTAAGTGTCTTACCCAAGAACACAACGCAATGTCCCCGGCCAGAGCTCAAACGCACTAATCATGAGGCCACTGCGCCTCCACCTTAGCGTAAGCCAGTAATCGATATTTATTTCTTTACTTTAGCTGAAATCCAACCTCGCGCCTACCTTGGAGACGGTACAAATACTCCGCTTTTCGTAAGTATTTGTTATATATGTCCCTTTTTGGCCACCACAGGTCAATAATGCAGATTATTATAGGGCTGGCTCCATGAGCGGGCAATATGAATCAAATCCTGCGCTGTCATCGGCTGCCCGAGCGGACAAGATGGAGCTATCTTCCCGGAAAGCCATATAATAAATCCTTTATTGACCAAGCTTGTTCCCTCAAGATGGCTTGATATTGGCCTCGTCCTTTTTTTGCGAGTTTATGGACCACGACTGCGTGTCGGTCCATAAACGCGCAAAAAAAGAACTTGGCCAATACCCAGCCATCTTGACTTCATGCTTGGTCAATGACCCATATGTATTTATGCCGAACTGCAATTTGGTTCGACTCGTTGTGAGTTGGCTGAGGCAAACAGGAAAGACAGAGAAATGTGATTCAGTCTTAATTCCCTCGTTAGTATACAAGAGAACTAACGGTATTTGTCCAAACAAAGTAATATCGACTTTCAGTGCTAACATTACTTTGCGAAACTTGAAAACAAATTTTGCTTTAAGAAACAATGGACAAGTAATACTTGGAATAATTGACCAAGCCCTCTTGAGACTCTTCTTTTGCGAAATCACGGTGTTTGTCAGTTCTCTAAAGTAACACTGTGTCGGCGCGCAAGTGAATTATCACCTATTTATCAACTCAAAGTTGTTAAATTTAAGGTAAATTGTCCGCTGTAGCGAGAATATAAAGCTGACCTTTGGAGCTATAGTTCCCTGTGAGAGTAACGTCTTCCGGAGAAGGCACTAGTAAGTCTTCGCTCTGACTAACGCCTGACCCTCGACACATCAGCTTCACGATTTCTCTGCTGCAGTTATGAATTTACTCTCACGTAGGAATTTAAAGACATCTCGTCTTCGATATTTCTTCGACATACTGTAAAATGCTTTTAAAACTGTTTAAAAACTGTTAGATTGGCACTGCAAAACAGATTCTGCCAAAACCCTAACCTCAGCAGTTGTACGCCATATTGGATTCCGTGAATTCGCACGTAAGTTTTTCTAATCCTTTCTTAGCCTCGACAGTGCATATCGCTCGAGCGAATTTACCCTTTATCACCTTCTTATTAATTTCAGTTCTGCATCTCCTGGAAACATGGTCAAAGCCACATTCTATCTCGATGTGCAAGGCAACATTGAAAATTCCACTCTCATCGATGAACTGAACAAAACTGTCGTGAACGACATTCTTGGCAAGTTTGAAGTAGACACAGCAACTTTTCAAGCCATACATAGGATTGTTGGTAAGTTTAGGTTATTAAGGTCTTAAAAAACTGTTGGACTGTGTCCGCGGGCAAGTGGGACCGGCTTAGCTATTTACATGTATAAATTTATATCAACCTGAAGATGATCAAGGTAAATCAACAGCAGTAACGAGTTAGCGAATTTGAAATCTCGAGGAGTAGCTTTTTTTAGTCAGAGCAAATAGGTAAGCTTTAACGGTCTAGCCCGGTCTAGCCCGGCTCCTGTACAACAAAGACGGGGGTGCTCTTTAGGAAATTTTGAAAAGAGGTACCAAGATCCTGTTTTGTGGGCGTGGATTGAAATTGATGTAAAATGTAAGATAGATTAGATCACTGAAAGGCCATTAAATTGTAAAGCATGTAAATTGTTGGTCTCCTTTTGCCTTGGTGAATACACTGGACTGAGTGTTGGAGTAGTTTCTCCTCTGTTCACAAATTAACCTTTTTACACCTTCTTATCTTGTTTAGCTGAGTTTTTTGAATAATAAGCTTTTGTTTTTATACAATAAAGCCAGTTTCATTACGTACAATACTGATACTTACGCAACTAACATTACAATACATCTACTTCCCCGACTTAGAGCACGGCTACTTTACATTACTTGCAACTACTTATAAAGGTAGATACTTAAAATTGTTTTCGATACTAATAAATCTGCTCTACACTACGCACAATACTTTTACAGCTACTTTACACTATTTACGATACTAATACAGCTACTTTACATTATTTACATTATGTATACAGCAACTTTACATTATTTACGATACCAATATACAGTTGCGGCATTAAAAATATTCGGTGTGTAGCGAGGCATTTTAAAAATTTTGGCAAAAAGAAATAAAAAGTTGACACTGGCTAAAAATATATTCTGGACGTTTCGGCTACTACTGTTGCCTTCTTCAGCAAAGATAAAAATGCAAATGTCTAACGGCGTCCTGCTTGGTTTATGTATACAATATGTGATAAAACTAAATCACGCCTCGAAGAAGTTATATTATAATACTTGCAAACCAGTATTAATAGCTTTTTTACATTATGATCTGTTACTTCGTAAACTGATACAATTTCGTGTTGTTAGTTGATGGTAATTACACCCAGTGGAGTCCGTGGTCAGTTTGTGATAACAAGTTTGACACCAATAGAACCCGGGAATGCCAGGGAACTGAGCACGGAGGAAAGTGTGATGGCGAACCTGAAGAAATCAGAAAATGTGGTAAGAAATATGATCCTATGGTCCATGTTGATACGGGGCAAGGCAAGTTGGAGACGCGGTGGCATCATGGTTTGCGCGCTAGACTCCGGATCAAGCGGTCTGGATTCGAGCCCTGGCCGGGGATATTGTGTTGCATGGGTACCGGCGAATTTAATGAGTGCTGGGGGTAACCCTACGATGTACTAGCATCCCGTCCAGGGAGGAGTACAAATAGTCGCTTGATGCTGCAGAAACCAGGATAGGCTCCGGCCTGATGGACCACTTGGCTCGTATGTTGACTTTACTTTACCTTACAAGTTTAAGGCTGGTTCAAAAAAGAACACACATTCTTCTAAGGCTCGACTCAGTAGCATTTGTTGTAGTCTTTTCCGTGGTCACCATCCACACTTGTACGTGTGGTCGCCTAACGGTTCATTTTGTATGGCAATCGAGTTCGAGCATATCCAAGGCAGTTTTTGAGCAAGGCACTTTACTCTCGCTGAGAGTAAATCTTTCTCGGGAGCTGCAGTGAACTGCTGGGGAACTTTAATAAATGCGCGGGGCTGAATTCAGATGGGCTAGCATCCTAACCAAAGATTGTAGAAGTCCCTGGTCTCTTTATGAAGATAAGCTGCGATTATAACGAGCCGTCAGACTATTTCAATTCTTTGAAATTGATTGGGTCTTGTTGCCCTTCCTTGTATAATACGACTTGGTTTTGTCTACGTACATCAGTTGAAACAATTTTCAGGGGTTTACTTTTGCTGAAATGGCAGCTCTTACGCAACAGATTCGACTAAAATGGTAGGACATAAACCCCTATCCACAAAAACACAGTTGAAGGAACAAGTACCGTTTTGAGAGCAAAACCTCTTGCCCAAAAATTGACCGTGTCCTCGTTTTTAGTTACCCTAGATAGTAATGAAAACTAAGAGATCTGATTTGTCAACAGCAACAGCAACAACAGAAACAGCAACAGCAACAACAACAACAACAACAGTAACAAGAGCATGTGTTTCCCCGACTGAGTCAAGTGTTGAAAAACTCAAGAAAACTTCTATTATAGTTAATGCTAACACGAATTCACCTTTCTGCTGTCCTACAGATTGTGCTTACAATATGACCGAGGGTGGAAACATCACCTCCCCTTTGTTTCCTAACAACTATCCGGACGGGGTCAGATGTGTTTGGATCCTGGAGGCGCCGGTCAATCATACCGTCAAGTTAGATTTGGAAGAATTTCACTTGGAGAAAGACAAGAAGTGTTTTTATGATTACATGGAGTTCTTCGACGGCGACACGGAAGAACACCATTTGATCAGAGAAAGAATGTGCGGAAGACACGATCCCCAACCCCTTGAATCCACGGGACAGAAGCTTATGGTGGTGTTTAAATCTGACAAAAGTGAAAACTACAAGGGGTTCCGAGCTGTGTGGGAAACTAAAAGAATGAGTAAGAAAATCGAGTAACGTAAATAATGTTATTAGAGAGTTTAATGTGGGATACGATTATCCCCTACAATTATTGAGAACGTACCACCCTCAAGTCAGTGATATTTGGGTTAACCTAAGAGCTATTTAGGCTAACCGGGGCGCTGTTTAGGCTTAACATAGACTTAACATATTAGGTTTTGTCAAATCTTCAACATTTTGGACGAGAGCCAAATAATCATGGCTACTCGTAGTCTAGAGTAAGCTCGATACAAGTCTTAAGCTAAAGAAAAACTGATTCCTGCACTCCGCATGCCGTTCTGTCGCTATGCGGAACTCGTGGCTCTCAGATATGTTAATGAAAAAAACTGTTTTTGAAGCAGCTCTTTTTCCTTTATTTGCAGAGGAGAAAGTGATAGAGTACGTCGAGCAACACGTGACAACTCTGGTCATGATGTACAGTCCGACTGTGAACGACACCCACTATCCGCTTGGGACGGCAACCACATGTCCTGCAGACAGGTACGCACGCGCCGATTTGGCGCCGCTTGCAATACAGTCTGGTCCCCATAGCTACTCATGATAATTTATGGCAACACCAGAGAGCACTTTTTTCTGCTTTCTGCCGGAATGGAATTAACTGAGCATGCAATTTTATTGGTGGGGTTGCTAGGTAACATTGTGTGCTCATGGAAGCATCTCATTGGCTGATAAGGATCGGAAGCCCTGTATATCTTTTTACGATCATTTACAAAACACGACACTTGCTTGTTCTGTAGATTGATAGGTGACAGTTAGGTGTTGTACTGCTTCTAGGGGTGGAAATGTTTTGAAAAACGACGAAGGTATTCGCCTTATATAGCTGAAGATGTCATAGAACCCTAAAAGTAACTTAAAATAAAGAAATTATTGATTCACTTTATTTAAGTGTAGGGGTATTGAATTGAATCTGGGATGACAGATTAATCCATCCAGTGGCATGGAGGAGGATTTGAAGCCGGGACCTCCAGATTATAAATCCTTCTAATCCTTCTCCGGAGTAAAAAAAATCCTGTCCTTTAATAAGAGGCACTGCTTGCCAATAAGAGCTCTAACTATTGTATCTAGTAGTATCGTATATTGTATCGAGTAGATGAGTACAAATTCGAATTAACGAGACCCCAAAATAGTATCAACTAATAACATCCCTTTTTTGATTTCTATTTCATTTTCAGCCAAACCATTGACAAAGAATGCATCTTTGATGATACAGTCTTCATAATTTCTCGGTTAATAAGTGCCCATATTGACCGCAATCTTCCGCTCGATGGTACAAACAGGATCGTCATAAACTTTGAGCATATAATGGTGAGAATATTCCTAAAGAGTGTACTTTGCCTTTTTTGAGACTGAAAACGTACTGGAAACAAAAACCACATGCATGATATTTTGTTGCATTGTTTGTTAAGCCACTGGCGTAGCCTTTGGTAACATAGATCAGAATCAAGTCTATTAACCCCCCTCAGTCCCCTGAAGGGTACTTTTAAAACCCCCGCAGAGCTACGTTCGAATTCTAAGTGACGTGTAAATCTGTCTGGTTACCATGGGTTGGGTGGGTGAGGTGAGATCGCGTTAACGAACTAACGACCTCACACAAGTTTACGATGTCCTCATTTCAGTCGCAAAACACCATGTGATAGGTACGCTATGTACGCATCACCGGTTATCCTCATTTTTATTACCTTTAACCTTTCCTAATCTATAGTATGCATGCGTTTTAGTATTTATGACGTGGAAGCGTGATACATTAGCAATAGAAGCGACGTCTAAATTCATCTATTTCATTTCAGAACGAAAAACTCTTTCCAGCAATTTACAACGGAGAAAAGCAATGTGTCACCTGGAATAAGAAAGCAATGTAAGTTATTTTAGAAATATAGCTTGCGCAAAAAGATCTTTAACACTCGAAATACCGTAAGGGTAAATCTCGAAAAATCTCAAAACGAGTTAAAAAGCCATTGCTCTCATGACTCTCCACATTTCTAAGTTCTTTTTTTAAAAGACCACCAAAGTGTTCGAATAAAAAAAAAAAGTAAATATGATGTGATTTGTGGGGGAAGGAAGAGGGGTTAAATGACGCGCTATTTATTTCTTGTTGCAAATGACCTTAGTTTATTTACTGTTAATACAGTATATGGCTTGTATTTGCAGCCGATATAACGCGCGCTCTGATTGGCTAGTACTAGGGTATTATTCTCCCGTAACGTCAACGGGCCGATTACGGGCTTGTAAAAACAAAGCAAAAAGCCATATAATAAGCAACTTATTAACCTTGAAGGTTCAGTCTTTACGAGAAAATCTCAAACCTTGGTTTTGCCGTATTGACCTCGCTATTGCTCGGTCAATACAGCAAGGTCACAGATTGAGATTTTCCCGTAAAGACCTCACTGTCGGTTGATAAGTAGTTATTAACGCATGATTCGCATTCTCTAGGAAAGAGCCTTTTGACGATTCTGATCCGTAAGTCATTACTAGCCGGATTGTTGTTAGTCATATTATATCACCTTAAGGAAATATACCTACGTGGGCATAAAACCTTCATAAATAGAGTAAACACATTATCATAAACCACATTTTGTGATGTTAACAAATTTCAGTTACATTGAATCCATATCATTACACGCAAAATTTTAAAAATCCTTACTCTCGCATAATACAACCATAATATTCTATTAAAAGCAAAGTTTTCTCACCACAGTTATGAAGGATGTAATGTTTGTCAATGTAGTCCTGGGGGGATGGTACTTCCTATAACAGCCTATACGGGGAGAAGGGGTACCTTTCTTGGTCTTCAGGCATATGAAAGGGTAGGAATTTCACAAGTTGAGGTATATGAAAGTGTAGCGAAATCTGTCATTTAGGTATAACGTGAACGGGAACCAAATAATTGACACTTGCTTTTTTTTGTTCTGGTAAATAATGCTTGGTGTTCTCCTGTATAATTGTTCATTGACTTCATTCCAAGGGTTTAGAAAAGGGATGCAGGGTAGAGTAACCCTTCCCACTGGAAGTGTAGTCTGCTGGGAACAACTGAAATACTCGGCCTACCACAGAAGTTCACTAGACGTCGTTCGAAGCGATCTAAACATGATGGTGCGACGCTTTCAGGACGAACATTGCAAACGTTGTACTTGGTCTAATGTCTGTATTAATGGCTTTTATTATATGGAGAAGAGTGTTTTACTGGGAACTAAACCACTCGTAAATTCCATACGCCGCTTCATCCGGGACCCGAGTGGCGTATTTTCCGTATGTCACCTTTGTGAGTGTCGTATCGTTCAATGACCTNTTCTCGTGGCAAAAACAATATCTCACGAGTGAACGAAGCTCACTCGTGAGATATTGTTCTTGCCACTCGAACATAAAATTCATATCTTCTCGCCACCGTGTAATATCCTCTATGTATTTATCTCACGATGAATGTCTTACAGACTCCAGTCTCCAGTCTCCAGTCCAGGTGCATGGACGAGGAAGGGCTGCACAGTTACGAGAACTAACATCACACACACGTCTTGCGCCTGCGATCATCAAGGGTTATTTGCAGTGGTGGGAAAAAAGAAGGTGGGACAGATACTTATTTGTCAAGTGCTGCTTTCATAGAAACCTGAATGAAATAATACGATCTTGCGATTTTGCAAAGGTCTGGTATAGTAAATTTTTACTCACTTCAAAACAACTCCAAAATATAAAAAGAGCCCTGATCTTGATCTAGTTGGCATTTTGTCAAGACATTTTCGCTAGGATACTTTGTCAAACAAGGGTTTTCTATTCGCTCAAAATGTTAAATACTGTGCAACTTTTTTAAACTGCAAGATACAGCCGTATTTTGGCTCAAAGCAAAACAACCACAAAAAATCCAATCAAGTGGTACGATACATGTTCACCCGGCCCTGGGTTCTTAGAGTAGACTGAGTTCTCGATATATTAACAACCAGAACGGACTTTTGAGAGCATAAGGGTTTAAGTGTATTTAAATGTTGTCAAGTGCTGCTTACGCGTTACTGCAAAAGATAGATCAATAAATTGAACCCCTCTTATTCGTTTTCTTTCTCTAGATCGAATCGCAAAAGCTAAAGCTGTTGGCGAATACCTATATTGGAATTGGAATTTCATTTTTCATTCTCATCTTGGCGATTGTGCACATCGTCTGGAAAATGTAGGTAGAGAAACTTGCTGTGATAACACCTGTTGAACAAAACCACCGCACAACAAACTAGAGGCACTGAAGATGCTTAATCCGTTACTCGTCGATACTCGTGGTTGGTACAGCTGAAAATTACAAAGTACAAACTGGTGACTCAAACATGAACAAAAACGGAATTAAAAAGTAAAAAGCAAACAAACAAACTTTCCAAAAACGTTCCGCAACGCACAAAACTGCAGAGCAAATGGAATTTACGTAAATGTCACGTGACTTTCACAAGCGGGGGTACGGAGGGGCGCGGGTAACAAACTGTCCCTAACCACACCAAAAAATAAGTACAATCTGAGGTTAATTTTGTTGACGATTTTTTTCAAGAGAAGTTTGAACAAAAAGAGCAAAGGTGCATTATCCACCAATGATTTAAACTGACACGAATTCAGATCACATTGGACAAATCGTGAATTTGTCGGTAGTATTCAGCGCTTGGCGTATGTTCCCCCACTCCAGATTCACAGCTAATCTTACACTATAGTCTCTGTGTTCTTACAGTGAAGTTCACGGTGGAGAGATCATGCGTATTAACATGTGTGCCGCCATCATTGTTATGCAGAGCGTGTTTCTTATTGGCGCTCATGTCAAAGCTCAACAGGTAATTGTGTTTTCTCGGTCCCAGGATCTTTTTGCCATCTGTAATTGAGGTTGATTGGGATCCACTGAATAATTACCTTAGAAAGGATTTTTGTTGGCAATGATCACTTCGTAGAAATTTTTGTAAATACAACTTTCCAAAGGATTTTATTTGTTGCAAAGCCAATCCCCTTGAGTCCTTGGAGTAAATTGAAACTAAGGTCCCCTCCACACTATGCTGGAGGAATTTGAAAACGCAGCTTTATTTCTACGGTTAGGCCTACCGTCCACACTAACCCGTCACGAAAACGAAGCTCTTCGAAAGCGCTCTTTAAACCGAAGGAATTTGAAAACGCCAGCTTTGAGTTTTAATGTGATGGAAAACGGAACTTTTTGAAAACGATTGCGTCACGTTAATCATGCGATCTCCCTGACTGAGTTTTCCACAAACACTATAATCCAAAATGACCGGTGACTGTTGCGTTTTTAAATTCCTCTGGCGTAGTGTGGACGAAAAACATTTGATGCGCTTACAGTGCGAAACCTCCGTCTTGAAATTCCACCGGCCTAATGTGAACGGGGCTTAAAGGACAAAGACAACGTACATGACTACTTGTAAATAAATCCTAGAGTAACACTGACTTAATGCCAGATTTTCAACAGGGACTTGCTGAGGAGAAATCTTTCTTCTTTGAACATAAGATGCTTGACTTCTACCACTTTTTAGGCGATTTTCCCCTGTTTAATGGGTTTTTTCTTGTGTTTCCATACATTTCCTAGACTCTGTGTGGCTTCTTGGCCTTTGCAGTTTATTTTTCTGTGTTGGCTGAGTTTTGCTGGCTTCTTCTTCACGGTCTACGAATCCATGGCAAAATCAAGAAAATCTTTGCCTCGAATCTCAACATTGAGATCGTTTATGTCGTCATTGGATGGGGTAAGCAGACACAGTGCCTCCGATGTTTTGGTTCAGCGGTCTTTGGAGAGAACGAAGACAGGAGAATGGTCACTGTTTAGTCATGAAATGCAAAGACGTTCAATTTTCAATCTCAGTTTGTTTTGCAAAAGAATTCACAATCTTCACGTTTTCATCTGAAATTGTGTTTCATTGTGCACCGGTCATTGCTTACTAACATTTTTTACGGTTGGCATTCAGTTGATATATTTGTATTTACTTTATAAATGCGGCTTCATAAGCGGCCCTATGTCCCACTGGGAGCTTTAAGGAAGGATGATATGATAATGACTTTATAAATGATCACCTTTTACCCACGTAACATTAGATATGCCCAAGAGCAGTCCGAGTGCAGTCCGAGTGCAGTCCGAGTAGGTCTTTCTATAGAAAGCCATTTCACCAAGAATGGTCACGTGACGTGTATTTCATTTCAGGATTGCCGATGTTGTTGGCTCTTATCGCTATTGGAGTACAAATCGATTTGAAGAACCCGGACGACGTGTAAGCACTTTAAGATTCATTTAGTGTTTTATTTTCCTGTCATGAAGTTAGCTACTATTGAGAATAATACTTGCTAAATTCTACTAGCAACAGGTTTTTGGTTTGGCCTATCACCATGACACCATTGTAGTAAAATAAAATAAATTGCGATATTTAGAGATAAGCCACATCAGCTTAGATGTTTTCACGCGGGTCCTCTATCCTGGTCGAATAAACTGTTTCCAGTGTATTAAAATTCAGCTTGGCAGTGAGGCTTAGAGGACACAAACAAAGGAAATTGAATGACCATGTTTATTCATTTCTTTTGTTTGTGTGCTCTTGGCCTCACTATCAGGCTGAATTTTAACATATCGAAAGTGGCCCATTGGAGTGTTGACTTTTTCGGAGGAAGGAAAACCGGAAAACCGGAAAACCGGAGAACCCGGGAAAAACCCTCGGAGAAAGGCGGGAACAACAACAAACTCAACCCACATATGTCACCAGACCGGAATCGAACCCAGGCCACATTGGTGGGAGGCGAGAGCTCTCACCACTGCGCCATCCCTGCTAGTAATAGCAAATTCAAACAAACACTAAACAAGCAAACAAACAAACGTTTTTTCACCTGAGCAGTTGCTTACGAATAAATGTGTACAACGCATTTCTACCTTTAATTGTTTACTGTTGATTGTTTTTAATCACGTGACAGTTGTTGGGAGGCGGCAGCTGGCAGTGCAATGTGGGGATATGCTGGGCCTGTCATTATCATCGCCTTGGTGAGTAATAAACTGAGTATCAGTTTATTTTGACAACTGAGGATATCCAGTAATATCATTCAAAACAAATTGTAAATTGTTTCGCCGATGCTAATGATTTCTTCTGTTGGGACTGTTATTGTTTCTTGCCCCTTTTAGTGAATGTTGAAAAAGATCTGCTCTGTGATAAGTCTCTCTTCAATTACTGGAAACAAGTTTAGCGCTTAGATTGATGTTTCTTTTTTCAGTTCAATGTGGCCGTTTTGCTGAAGCTTTTGATCCCAACCGAAGATGTTAAGAATGGCTATGACTATGAAGAAATGAGGTCAGTCCAAACATGGCTGTCTGTCAGTTGCTATCAAATTGCTACTGTTATGTCGACCGTCACATAAGTTAAGTATAAGTTGACAATCTATTGGTTTAGATAAAAATCTCTTCACTGTTTTTCAAAGCTGTCTTCTCTCTCGGGGTGGATGGATATTTTTAGCAAGAGAAAGTAACTGTATTGTAAATTCGTTTCAGGTTTCGCGTGATCAAGGACTTCATATTTCTGGCCTGCTTTGGACTTACCTGCACCCTTGCTTATCAAGCTGTCGAGGAGGAACGGTTCCTTGAACAGTATTTGCTGTCCATCTTTGTTGTCTTGCAGGTCAACTTTTTATTATGTTGAATTTATCTCTCTTTACGTTTTTCCTTTTCTCCTGGACATTTGGCCTTCAGTCGTGTCATACCCTGTCTTGCTCTGTCGAGTCGTTTCGTTTCGTTTCGTGTCGTGTCGTGTCGTGTCGCGTCGTATCGTTTCGTGTCGTGTCATGTTGTGTTTTGTCGTCTCGTGTCGGACCGTTTCGTTTCGTACCTTTACCTTTCCTACCATACCATACCGTACCGTGTTGTGTCGTGTCGTGCCTGGCCGTGCCGAGCCGAGCCTCGTCGTACCGCGCCGTTTCTTGTCATGACGTAACTGTGTCGAATTGTGCCGTGTCTTGTCGTGTCGTGTCGAGCCGTGCCGTGCCGTGCTGTTTCGTATCATGATGCAACTGTGTCGAGTTGTGTCATGCTACGCCTGCCGTGTAGTAGCAAGTTACAATTACTTAAAGAGGATGGCACATAACAGAAGACAACAATGAACTAGTGGCCCTCTATCCTAGAAATAACAAGAAATTACATGTCGACGAGGCATCCTGCCTGCCCTTATTGTGTTGTATTGTGTTTTCAATGGATTCTCCTGGTTTCTTTAGATATGCACCCCAATTATCTATTATCTATTATCTATACAGTCTTCTTCAAGTTCCTTTTATAGCAATCAGTTTCTGAACTGAATATTATTTTTCTTTTTTCAGGCCATTGCCATGTTTGTTTTCGGAAGAGAGGTAAGTACTATGAGGTGGAAAATGGAGTGAAACAAAATGGAAGCAAGGAAGATATAAAAACTTTATCCGGGAACCACAGAGTTACAGTTGAATTCCTTATTTACACCCTTTACTTATGCTTGATTGAAAGGCCTTTGTTGGGCTTATATTCAGGAGAAAGGTAGAGAGGGATTGGAGGGGAATGGGGGATGGGGCGTGTTATTGGAAAGAGCTACTGGTGTAAATGTTTCTTGAGCTTAAAGATAGAATTCAAAGAAACCATTCTGCAGATAAAAAAGTCGTTTTGAGAAGTGTGTTAAAACTTTGCAAACCACTGCGTCATCATTTCCATATTTCCGGATCTACTCAAGACTATGATACAAAACATACATATATTCTATATTTTTTTAAAAATTTCTCAGGGTCGAAAGGACTTCATTAAACGCCCCGAGAACACTAAACAGGAAGAAAACGCTGCCGACAACGAGGCCGTTACGGAAGAACCCATCGAAAATATTTACGAAACCATTGATGATGCGAGGGAGCCTGAGACCGACTTAGCTGAAGGACAAGTGAAGAGACCTCGAAAGAAAAAGTTATCTGTAAGTTAAAATACTTTTAAAAGATCTTAAATTTTTCAGGTAGTAAAGTGTTTAGTGGTAACTGACGGTGCGTCTTGAAAAATCGGCCAGTTGTTCTCAAGTTTATCATCCGTAGTCCCTGTTTTAATTTAAAAAAAAAAAAAAAACACAGCCCATCTTTGTGAACGGGGATGCTAGCATCTTAGTAGCATGCAGAACAGGCGGTTTATAAGCGTATCAGAAAGCAAAGCGCGATACACGAGCGCTAGGCGCACGCACTCGCGCTTTGCGATCTTGATCGCGCTGGCGGTTGCGCCGCCAAAACCTGGCATCTCAGCTTAGAGCGAAAATGTCAACCAATTCTCAACTGTCAGTAAATTTTGCAGACCTTAATTTTCTGTTGTCATGCAGTTAAACAACAGGTCATTTCTTAGCTGACAGTTAAAATTTCCACCAATTTTCAGCTACCAGTTTAACCAGAAGCTTGCAAGCTTCAAGCGAGAGAAAACGAAGACATGGTTTCTTGCTTCTTGTTAAACCGATTTATTCTAGACTCTCTAAACCGATAAGGGCGGTTTCTAGTATTGCTAAGCATGATGCTCACAATGCTATACCCTAATGTTGTGGAAGAGGTACAATAAGAGTTCATTTCAATTCATTATCAGTTGGAGAATTGTTCCATTTTCAGGGTAGAAAAAGATTATTGGCTTAGAGCGATGTAATTTACCGATAGGCCACGTTCGATGTATCAATATTCTTACTAACAGTGGCTCCGAGGCTTTCAGGACATACTTCTATATTTGGTGGTGTTTTCTTTGTATCCAAGTCTTTTTGGGAATTGTGAGACAAAAGAAGCTTAAAAGAATTTAAATTTTACCCGAAAGCCTCGAATGCATGTTAGAATATTGATAGATCGAACGTGGCCTGTTACAACTTCGACAACGTGAAATAAACAGAACAGCCTACTTCTTTCAACCACGGTATAATTTAATTGCTTCCATAAAGTTTTTGAATGGTGAATACTTTATCAACATTAACATGTTTTTTTTTTCTGTATTTTTTTTCATATAGAAGAAAGAACCAGAGAAGATCACAGTTTCTACGTTGAAAAACCTGAACATCTACAAGGAGGGAGGCCAGTACGTCATTGAGGCTTGAATCAATGCGAAGATTCGTTTTTTTCTTAAAGCCGTTAAGCACACTTCGACGTGAATTTATATTTATTTCACAGCATTACAGCAAGGTAGTCAAATACATAAATTGACCTCGAGGAGACTTCAATCATTTGATATGTCATTTTGTAGAAATTTTAAGACGCTTCAGTTTGAAATAACTTTAAGATGAACCTAACTAAGCCCATAATGGGCTCACTGTCCTAAGGTGACTCAGAGCAGTTGTTAAAAACGATCCCCAGTGTTAAGTAAAACAAATGCTAGACAGTTGCATCATAAGCTGTTCATCCAAACCAGTTGTCCCATAAGGTATCAGTGTTTGCTGCAGAATAAAAAAATCCACACAAACGAACAAATAGACATCGATTTATTAGCGTTATGTTATGTATATACAGAGGACATTCTCTCTTCCTCGCATTTTAACTTCATCTTCCATACTCGGTTACAGATTTTAATTTTCGAGCGTCCCTTAATTGCCAACTCCACTTTAGGATAAAGCCAGATCTTGCGTAATTATTTGCTGTGATCTTCTCTTGCTACAAATCTGCGCCCGGTTGTTCGATCGCCGATCGCTGATTCTTCTCTGGGACTGATCGTCGACTCTGAGTTTTAATTATAATGTTTCCCCTAAATATTAAAATGTTTTCAAGTCTTTTCTTTTGTATATTCCGGGACTAGTCCAGTGAAAAATTAACTGAAGGGCGAATACCATAAAAACACGTTACTGAAAAGTTACAAAAGCGAAATCAAAATTCGTTTTAATTCTCGATTAACTCAATCGTGCTTGGAATAACCGGACTCTGGTTACTTAGTTTGTTTTTTATCTACTACCGTTTCAAATCTACTAGATCAACCTCTCTCTCCCAGGAAGATCTAGAGAGGTACTATACAAAGTTTTACACGGGGTGGATCCGCCTCGACACGCTTTTATATACAGAAAGACTTCCGCTTTCTTATACCCTTAAAGGCACTCTTTTTACATGCTCATAACCGGCCCGTATTATGTATAATTGGCAAAAAAGGAGAATCTTCTTATTATTTTGAATTTGAATTCTTTACCCTGTTATACTGACCTAAAGCCTGAAAAAGGTATCCCTTTCGGGGGGAACCTCCCCGTATAGGCGATTACAGGGAGTACCCCAGGGGGTGCACGTTCTATGTAACAACCTCCCAAGCATACCAGGCCACTCTTGATGCTAGAGTTTAAAATGTTGTAAAAAAATGTAAATGTAAATGCAAATTTAATGTCAAACACAGGCTCATGATAACGTGCCTGACAATAATCCAGATCGAATTGGAATTTAGAAATGCTGGTTTTTGAGGAGAGAGGAAAACCGGATAGACTACGGGTAGTCACTCTTTCGCTTAGTCCGTCGTGCGTGACGCGAAAGAAAACCGCGAGAAAAAAATGGCCGCGCGAAATCCTGGGGGCGAGGAGCGCGCGAAAGGAGGGACTGACAAGCTTTTCGGGGACAATGTATTTATCTGAAAACTTTCTAATAGCCTCGCTGTCCTCACTGACTAGTTCACTTTCCTCAAACAATCGCTTGATCTGAGCAAGTTGCTCCATCTGACCTCATGAAATCCTCGCATTCACCACAAGCGCATTTCCCTCTTTCTATTCCTCGCACATCCTTGCCCATTTTCAA